ACTGAAGCGAGCTGGGAAACAACTCTCCCCAACTGGTACCAACTGTCCGGATTGGGACCTCTTGTTAAGAGCAGGACACGCAGCGCAGGACTGCAAGTTAACGGCACCAGCTCGTCCAGCCACAGGGAAGAGCAACAGCGATCAGCACCGCCTGGAGAAAGCCGGGAGACAAAAGGGCCCCAAGGGCCGCTGTCACGGAGGGGGGTGCTGTCCTTACCCCAGCCCACGCCCTCCGAAATACCTGCTGAGAGCACGTGGAGACCAGGCACTTGTGGATCTCATTTCACGGGTATCATTTAAAGATTCTGTCAGTAAAACAATTGACGTGATACCGCTCTTGCTTCTACAAAAAAAGCAGAAGGGATGACAAAGAGATAATGCAAGTCACCTTTTCTTTTAGAAGAGATACCAGTGATGCGGTCACAAGGATGCCTTAGAGAGGTACCACTTGTGCTCTACAAAATGACTGATTTTAACTATTTGTCAGGTGCGTATTGGTTCCATACGGTGACTTCTGCTCACTCTTTATCATTACGCCGACTGCCTTTAAGAGCACCAACTGTTACACCTCAGGTAACTCTTCTGCGAAGGTGTATCTAAGTAAAAATACACCCAACCAACAAGAGGCTGACTTGTCGCAAGCGCCGTTATTATTTTAACAACTACTGTAATGTTTAACCCATTAAAGTCTTTGAATACATGAATAACGTCTACATAATTAAAATGATCGTGAGACATGCTGTGTACAATGAAAATGATGTCACAATACATTTGCAGTATTCCATATGCTACAGACATACCTTATAAACAAGTGTGTCTGGCAACATGTTTAAACACTATACTTATTTTTCTGCTAACAATTTTTGAAGATTATGGGTTTTGAGCGCATATTGAATTTTCTTCAGGCACAGATATGGCTGACATCAGTTTATATTCTGAAACCAATATATACGATAGGACAAGGAAGCACATAAGGAAGTTGAATTAAAAGCAGGTATGAGCATGTATTTTATTACAGAGAATCAGACAAGTAAGATAGTAAAATCTGACTTCTTGTCACATCGAATTTTCTTTCGCTACTCCATTATGGGAAACAGTATTTTTATAATGTAAATTTTACAGAATCATCCCCAGACTAAAGTCTGTGGCATTCTGCTGTATCCCCAAAGAATCACTTACACAATCCCACCGATTCAAACTCAAGCCACTCATTTAATGTTGTAACTCTATGCAGAATTAAAGACAAGGATCCTTTCTGACTTTAACATTGTTTTTATGTATTTTAGTCTGTATTATATCTATCGGTAGTAGCTTAGTGGAATTGCCTGACGTTATCCTGTTGAATTTAATGGTCTCTTTTATCGTCTGGGCAGCACCTGAAAGGACGCTGCATGCAGCATTAGTGGAGCACAACTTTCTTTTGCTGTGCAGAAATAACTATTCAACTTCGAAAAGTTGGGTCCTTATGTGGGTAAAAGGACTCGGGCACCTCGTGCACAAGAAAGGCAATATTCAGCGAGGCTGGCTGCGAATTTGCAGCACACCAGCTTCGCCGTGCTGACTGTACCTACGATCAAAGTGACGACATAATCTGGTGAGTTCCACCAGAGAGCAGTTCAGCCACTTACAATCTGAATTATCTTCTGACCGTGTCTGCCTCTTTCTAGTGACTAGTCCAGGTAAACGAGGTTTATCACTTAAGGTGATTCAGGTAAAATGACTAAAATTACAGCTCTTCATAGCTATGTCTATACTTACCTTTTGGGGCACGACCTGGGATGTTGATCCCCTGGTCATTCATATAAAGCACCCGTCGATAAACACCACTGTTCCTGCCTGGGAGCCACCCGATTTCCATGGAAGTCAGAAGGTGGTGATGGGCAGGAGGTGAACTCTGCATTCTGAAATCTTACCGTGACACGGAACCGGGACGTGACTCGGATGTACACAACTAAGACTGCTGGGCTGAACATAGTAGTAGTATAGTAATTCTGAGTCACCTCAGCTTGGAAGTTTAATTTAAAAAAATACTCAGATTTGACTAGTTTTTTTCTAATTCTGCAGTCAATTTGCTCTTTCTGCCTGTATTTGTTTTGAAGTGTGGTCACTGTGTATCTGCAATTAATTATCGCCATAGAGACCTACTATGGTTATCACTTTTAATCTTTCAATTATTACGATCTCAAAAATGGAACAATAGCAAGTAAAATGCTACCATATGAAAAGCTCTTCCTTCTCCTGAGACAGAGAACACTTCAGCACGTAAGTACTTCCAAATTGGTTTTCCGAAAGTGATTTAGACTTCAAAAAGTCATAGAGCTAATACGAATAATGAAGCAAAACAACAACGCCAAATAAAGTCCTTATGTCTAAAAAAATGTTTTTGCACCAGCAGTTCAATATTACTGTAAAGACATTGCAGTATTGAAAGATTTATATTCTGAAATCTGTGAAACGCTGTCAGCAGCAATAGCACAATTTTGTAATTTTCCAAGGATGATATAGGATGCTGAGACAGGAAACGATCTTATAAACCACCTGCAAAGTACTCTGACTAGTCTTGAAAGTACTGAAATGCATTTGTTATCATGTGTTCTGAGTACGGATCAAACTGGAAATTAAAGCTTTTTAAAAATCAAAAAGGAAAAGATTTGAATACAGTACCTGAAAATTAATCAGCCTGAATCTTGATGAAACACAGTAATAACTACTGAACCCTGCACTGGGGAAAACTGAGAGAAACATAAAATACCTGCCTGCAAGGGTAATTTTCTTTGAAGTAGTGGTCTAAATATAAACCCATTCTTATAAACTAACTAAAACCAAGTGGTTATATTTAGAGTATACGAGAAAATGAAGTAAAAATAGCGATAATGTCAATTACTTTCTGGACATTATATAAACTACGAAAATACTTCACAGAACAATGGAAATACACCTTCAGTGTAGAAATGGGGCCGTAAAACATCTTGAAAAGATACTTCCTTAGTACAGAGAAATACATAGAAGCTCACCTCATTCGTTTTTATGAAGACCTAAGCACAATCAGCTTCTCCTACAGGCACTCCCTCACAGATCAGAACCTTTAGAAGGAGCTTCATGCAGACTAGCAGGAAAAAGTGCAGCACTTGCCATCAGAAGCATCCCTGGTTTGCAGGGGAGGCCTGAGCAACCAGATGTGTGAGGTTTTGGAAAGTTGCGAATTGTATAATTACAAGGTTATATAAATGATACAGATGAGATAATCACAAGATCGTATTGTTTCCTTCCTCTCCTGTTTTCCACGTTTGAAGCTCAGCTTTGTGTTGCTGTGTAAAAGCTTTTGCCAAACCTGAAGAAACTGAGGACCAGCTCAATTAATTGTTGCAAGCTAAGACCCTAGGGAAAGGCAGGATACAAAGGCAATTAAAGACTGCTATGTCTTTATCTTTAATCAAAATAATTCTATGTAAATATGAACTATAAATGGGAAAAAACTTGGCGTATTTCAAATAGCAGGGAGAGAGCCAGGTGCTTTAACATCAGCATCAAGTACCATTGGAGATGCCCTGGTGGACCTGGAACATCTCACGTGGGAGACCTGTGCTGTTCTGGCATGGTAGATGGAGCCGAGTGAAGATTGTCTGGGGCACCTAAAACGACATTTGGCACTCTGCCTTCTTAAATCCCACCCTGACACAGAACTGGAAGGTGACTGGGATGTACATGACTAGGACTGCTGGGCTAAACGTGGCAGTAGTACAGTAATTCTGAGTTACCTCAGTTTGGAAGTTTAATTTAAAATAAAAAGAAAAAAAGAGACAAAGAGAGATCTGACACGCGACTAACTTCCAGATGCAATGAAATATTTGAGGGAGAGCAAAGTGAGCTATAAACTTGGGCCTGCTGGAATTTGCAGAGTCAAAAACATATCAAGTGGTGAGTGTTGAGGCTGCTTGTGCTACACCATTCTTTCGTATCGAGGAGGAGTTATACCAGAAAGCAAGTCAAAAGTGTAAGGGAACACTGGAGGCAAGTAAAATGTATTTAGCTGAGAAAAATAACAAGCAGACAGTGCAGCAAAACACGGTTGCATTTGGTTGCACCTCAAACAATGTCGCAAGAACAGACAGCTAAGTTTCCATGTGCGATTTTAACGTTTTAATTCCACACATTTCAAATAATTAAGAGTGAAAATTAACATTCTCTTGGATTTTAGGCAATATCATGTATTTTTCTAACTATTGAACTTGTGAGGTCTACTGTTCAAACACTAGAGCTACAAGAAGATACCCAAATCCAATGCCTCGTTGCCTAAATCTGTACTAGGACGCGTAACTGTCCATTTTATGACCTCGGGTGTCAAGGTGAACAGCCAAACACAAATTTAAAATATTGTTTATAGACATTTTACAACTGCTTTGTTGAGAATCTGGAAACACGCTTGCTCAAAGGAAGTTGCACTTTTTTATTAACGATAGCACTGTCAAAAGGAATTAGTCTACAATAACTTACTGGTCTAGTACTTTTACTCGTAAATCTGATTATTTTACAGAACCAGTGCTATGACAAATTCAGCATTAGAGAAACTGAAAGACAAAACTGAAAGGCATTAAGAAACTTCTGAGGAAAAAGTCTTTCATTCATTTAAAGAGTACTATGAGCAGGGCATGTAATAAACACCTTACTTTCCCGTATGTGATAGTTACGTTATCTATAAAAGTACCCTCAGTTGGAGAGCTGTTCTCCTTTGACACATTCCAGTATTTTCCTTCGTAATCCTGAAAACAGCAAGGTCCACAGACAAATATTTAAGTACTTTTCCAATAAGATAATATACCTAGAATTCCATAAATTAGACATCAGTTTTGTTGATATCTACTCTATGCAGCAATCCAGCTATTGGTAAATAGGCATACAACAGAAACCAAATTCTCTTAACTGGATCTGAAGGCTTCACTCTGCAAAAATGGCTGTGACTTTTTTCCCCCAGCACTTACAATGTATTTCGTTCATACTTTTTATAAAATGCCATCAAATATTCCAAGAAAGGCCTTGACGTCATCGAGTTCATCATCAAGAAGATACCTAATGAAGATTAAGAACACAAAAAAATCAAATTAGGTACAGTACATCAAAACCTATGAATTAGGAACTCTGTACAAAGTATAGTCAAGAGAAAGCAAGACAAGCAAGATGATTTTGAAGTATTTTCCTTTCAAAAAAAAGTTATTTGCTACTACTGTTGTGAAAATTCATTCAAAATGAACGTTATAAATTAACACGTTGCCTAAAGGTCTGTGTTCCATGAAGAACTGCGCACTGGGACACTGAGGCAACAGAAAACCATACACAACTTTTTATCACCTGTGATCCACTTCTTTCTCCTGCTCTTTTGTGGAAATAAAGAAATCCTCTTTCCTAGTGAATTTGGAAGAGTCCGAGATTATTTTCGAGACGGAAGAACGCTGTACGTTTTTCAGCTCTTCTGAAGGATTTGAGTACTTTTCTTCTTGAAACCTGAACTGCAATGTAAATGTTCAAAAGTGTATATGGTTAAATAACTAACCAAGAGAAACAGCCAGATTGTTGTAGCATGTAGTTCAGATATTCATACTGATATTATGATACTTGACAAGGACCAAGCACATGATAAATATAATTCTATACTGGATGACTTGCAGAATCACAATCAAATTGAGTAAATAGTTTTGAAGTCATGATATATAAAGTAAATTCAAGTCCTAGTTCTTTGTATCATGAGTATCACACTCAACACAGGATGCAGGCGTGTTTGGACAACACAGAAAGGTTCAGAAATTCAATATGTCCAAACTGATTCATAGGTCAGATACGGTAAATATATTTACACATTAATTATAGGAAATTCTGTTATCAAAGTATTTTTACTCACCATATTTGTATTTCCACTCTGTACAGATAAATTCACTTTTGATGTGCTATTAACCACAGAAACAACTGAGTTCTGAATATTGGTCCGATCTTGTAACGTGCATGAACTGAAAATATCAAGTTGAATAATTTAAGTATTTTTACAGAAGTGCAAAATTATTTACTTTTCAGTGCCGGATTTTCTATTGATTTCCCTCCACACTTAAACTAAAAAAAAAAAAAAATTAAAATAATTAAAAAAATCATACCTTTTAAAAGTTGAAATTTCACCCACTTTTATGAGTGAAGAACCTTCTATACATTTAATCATACAGATACATGTGAAATACAGACAACATTTTTAACTGAATAAAATTGTAATGAACTATATAATGCTTACTCTTTTGACATGTCATTTGTGGCTTTGCTTCTCGCATACTGGCAAAGTGGTTCATGCTGATCTGGAATTTGAAGGCAGGTATTTCCATGTTCCACATAAGAAGGAAAGTTTTAAAACCTGAGTCACAAATCAGCTGAAACCCCTTATAAACAGTAGTTTGAAAATTATTGAAATGTCTTAACACTTGAAATATTTTGTCTGTGGGTTTTGGCCTAATGTAAAGATAAGCAGAGATAAGCTGTCAGGTAAAATAACAAATCTGCAGTTGCAGGCCATATAAAAAATTTTTAATTATGACCTCCTCAACTCTCGCTTCTGTAATAGATTTGTTTCAATATAGAGTAATAAACCTGGTGGTCAAGTCAATTAACTAAAAAATTTCAGGTAGTTCTATTCATTGTATACTATAATAAATTATTCTCATATAATAGCCTGTGAAATAATTTGTACAAAGGCAACAAAGAATTTTGTTAAAATAAACTTACCTAATTCTCTACTGGCAAAGTTGCTAGCAAATACTAATTTCTCATCATCAATATCATCCCAAAAGTCACTTCTCAGTTCAAAGTCCACATCCAAAGCATCTGAAAAACAAGATCTGCTTTTATCTGTATCAGTCAAGTTACCCATTAAAGATTTTAAACATTTTTTTATGCCATTGTCTCTTGCCTCTTCTGAGTCACAAACACTGAATGTTTCCAAAAGAAAGCTGTAATACATTTGTAAGGGACAAGTACAACAAAACCTGCTCTGTGTTTTACAGCCAGTTCTTCAATCTGCTGAAAGAAGGATTGTCACACACACATGTTTTCCTCAGTGTTATTTTGAGAAACCTTATCCTCAGTGAAGGTTCTAGAAGAACAGGCCTTATAAAAATCCCTGCAATTTCATTCTTCCCCTTTGTCAGAAGCATCGTTTGATTCCAAATCTAGTTTTCCAAAACACTCTGAACGCTGTTCTCCTCCCATACACCTAATGCCTAAGAACTAGCCATGACAAACACATTTCACACACTGTTGTTAAAAACCTTAATCAAAATGTGATAGTTAATAAGTTTAATACTTAGTAAATTAATAAGTTTAAAATACTTTTTTCCTTGTGCTCTTTCCTCTCTTACTCTCCTTCCCTTTTTTATTTGTCTTTTCACCACTAATGCAATTCTCTCTGCTTATTTTTTCATCTCTCTTCTGCCATACTACCCTCCAGCATCAGACAGTGCTGGAATCTTCACTCTGTTGTCATGATCCTAATAGACCTAAGAAACCCTGATCCAGGTCTCCCTTTCATCAGAGGAGGAGCAGGACAGGCTCAAATCAAAAATCCTGTTCCACAGACACTGACAACAGCAGGAAGACACTGCTATTGTAATTTTGGAGGTGCACAGTCAGCACGGTGCATTATTGCACAGACACACAGACTTTAAATAAATTACAGGTTTAGGTTACTACAATTTCACAGTGTATTATTAACTACCTACATTTTTTTTAACGGACTGGAAAGATACCATATTACAGCCGCAGTTAACCCTAGAAAAATCATATGAACTGCGGCCTTACTTCGTTAGAATTATTTTTGGCTGCATTTTTTTAACCGCAACTGGCCCAATCAATATGGCCAAGGCTCCCTTTTCTGCGACTACTCAAGGGAGGTGGTTTTTAGTCAGCAATATCTACTGTGTCCCCTTGATCCTGTATGATTTGCATCAAGATGTTCTTAAGCATAGACCACAGCTATACTGGAATATCCATCTGTCTTCCCATGACTTTATTCTTTCAACACGACCATATCACACACTAACTGCCCGCCCCCATCCAGCAACTGATGATATGCCTATGCACAGTCTTCCAGCTGAAGACCAGATAACAACTATAGCAAGTAAATTAGTATAGCAGGAAAATACAAAGCACTAATTTAAAGGAATAGTATTACAATTCCATTGTCAAAATACTAAGTAAAAATGAAATTCTGCAGTACAGCTGCCAACGCTTAAGGCAGTAGGAACTAAAAAAATGTTTCCGTTCAGTTCAGCACAGTGTTTCTTACATGTCTGAGCATGACCTAAACATTGGAGCCGCTACTTATTAGCCAAATTAAGCAAAACCTGATTCACATCAATCTACTGTCACCAAATACAATGGCAAAGGCAGTGGTGAGGAGAACATCACAGTTACGTACTGATAATGAAGACTGATCACACCAAATGTAAAATCATTTGTGGCCTTTCCAGTGGAACAGGAACAGAAACAGAAAGGGGAAATTTTTCTCCAGATAAAGATGTTTTACTGGTTGTGAACTCAGTTACTGAACAGTCACATTTTGTCAACTACCAAAGAAAAGCTCCTATTTTACTGACTTCTTCCAGCAGAAAGGGAAAAGAAGAAAACATATAGATATAGGGATAAAATACCTCTTGTATTACAAGTGGCTTCTGTGGAAATACATTACAGTCATATCTTTCAAGAAGTATTTATAGATTTGGACCCTCATGTATTTTATTTAGTCATTACTGTTTTATTTAAAGGTACATTTAGATGCTTAGATCTACGTTAGAAATTCTTATTTTATTTAAAGGTACATTTAGATGCTTAGATTCTTTCTGATAGCAGAAGGAAAGCCAGCTAAGGCCACTATATTTCCCTATACAGTCAGTGTTCTATAATGCTATACTGGTGGCTGCAGTGATTTCAGCAAGTTCGAGTTTACAGGTGTATCCAAATCAAAGCAGTGAAAATCATAATTTCAAACATCAGCAATAACTTACTGCTCTTTCCGTAATTCCAGGATTGCAGTTGTTTCTGAGATACTTCTATGCTATTCACGTCATCTACCTCGTCCACTGAAGGTGATGAAGGTGATGAAGATGACGGTTTATTGCTAGACCTATTAAAAAAAAATCAGTGACATGCCAGTAAAACAGTTGCAGAAAGTTGCAAACTAATGCTATTCATAAAACAGTTTTTAGTTTTTACAACTTAACATACTATCTAAAATAAGGCAGATTTATTTTTTGTTACCTATATTAATCAGTACCTTGGCAATGCTGGCAACAAAGACTTAGGTGTAAAAACAAACTGTTTGAGATCCACGTTTTGAGCTTCATTTAACATCTGCATCTAAAGAAAGCAGGTTATTGTAACTGACAAGATAGAAACATATTGAAAACCATTGTTTTTTAACAGTCTTAATGACATCACTAATACTGTATCAAGTCAGCATAATTTTTAAAGATCACATATAAAATCTTTCTGATGTCTGCTTATCTAATGTAATCAGTTAAAAAGGTTTGAATGACATGCTTCTAGTGGAGTTATCCAAGTACCCCAGCAGAGTCAGGCTGCTTGTCACTACCTCTCATCCGTATTAGCTACAGGCTAAATCATTCTCTATTGCAAACAAACAAGCAAACAAAACTGTGAGGAGGAAATAAACCACTCCAATATCTCAAATATCATTCTTGCTGCAGAAAGAACTAGTTTAGTACTACATTCAAAGGGATAAAGTGTAAGCCATGGAATCTTTCAGAGGTTAAAAATTAACATGCTTGGTTTTCTTATGAACAAGTGGATCTACCTGTCAACACTAAAAGGTCTCTTAGTAGCATTACTCTGATAAATACCGCTATTTGTTCTCATTCAGGTCATATTTTGCCAAAACCAAGTCACAGCACAGTACCTTCCAACAATGCCTCTGCACCTCACGCACCACCATCTATCAAGTGCCATGAAAGCAAAGACAAGAGTACGTGCCCAGCAGCGGATCATGGGAAGCATTCTGCACAGCAGCAGAACCTCTCAAAGACTCCTAGACCTTTGGTACCTTCGTATTTCTTTGGGACCTGAATGTTCATTTTTAGTTATAAAATTCTCTCTGCAAACAATACGTACGAATATATAACGCACTAAAATAAATCTATGCAATGGCAGGCTGTATTTGAATGAACCTTTAACCGTTTCACTGGGGGTACAGACGAAATTGAGTTCCTGCTCCTCAAATCAGCTAGGTACAAAGAAAACTTTGAATCTCCAGTCATTTCAGTCTTTGAAGGTACTCCAGTTTTACCTGAGAAAAGGAATTAAAATAATCTTCAGATTAGTTTAGAAGGGATAAATCCTAGCTCTTTCCAGATCAATGGAAACTTTGACACTAAGCTTAGTATCTTCAATTAAAAGATCCTAAAAGATTTAACGCACTAATTAAAAGATTTAACACACCGGTATTTATACAAAAGTGTAACAAGCTTGACATTGCTCTTAAATCATATGCTCGGTGTTCTGAAAAATATTATTAAACATTGTAGTTGCTACGAAAGTGTTCTTGACAAAGCTTTTTATTACTGCTTTTATGACTGCATCACTGCAACAACTCAGGCCTGACTCTCTTGCTTCTGTTAACGTAGCTATTGATAGAAATTAAGCTACTCGAAATTGTATTTGTCTCAAAGTAACAGAAATAGTAGATTTAATGAAACTCACAGCAGTCGTGTCCACACACATCTTTCTTTTTACAGCGATGGTTGCACTCTCTGTTCCCATATTTCTTGCACGTAATCTCTTGTTTAGATCTGCCTCCTAGATAAATATAATACAGAAATGCTCATTTCTTGTTTCATACGTATTGTTGAGAGAGTACTTCATGCAGTAAAAGACAGGCCAGAAGTAATCTGGGTCACTAGAATTTTGTTGTCCTCAACAAAACATTGGGCTGCTCAAACAATGTAATTGGAAATAAATTAATCAATGCTGCTGAAAAGCAGAGGCACTACCACATTCCTAAATTCAAACAGTAATGTTAGATACCAAACACTCCTGATTTTTCTTACTTTCAAAGTCATCGAAGAATTGCACCATAGTACTTGACAACTGGAAGCAGCAGCATTGTATTTTTATTATAGTTGAGAAAGAAACAGTATAGATAAATAAAGATCTAGCGCTCTACTGAAAGCAAAATTCAATTTTCTGTTGACTTTGGTATGAGCCAGATGTTGCGATCGGACCGTTTACCTTTATCTACTGTTGCCGCTGGCAGCCTTTGTGGTGAGCCATAACACGGATCAAGTGAAGACTCAGCTTTCGGTGTGTGATTTGCAAGCGCTTTACTTCCCCCTGTGTTTGGTGATAAGTAAAAGGCTGTATACGCTTGCTGTATGTCCAGGCCAACTTTGAAAAAAAAAAAAAAGACAAAAATACTTAAAATGGCTATAAACTGTTTCTTAACTACTGATTACCTTCAGTTTCTAAAGAGTTTAAGAAAGTATAAATGTTACTAAAAGATCGTGGAACTTTGTTAATTTCCATTCAATTAAAATGTACCACTAAAAGCACACTATGATATGAACGGATTCCTTATGATTGAAATTCAAAACCCCAGACATTTTGAGAATTAAAGACGTGGTTACTAGACGAGTAACAAAATTAGTCCCTTTAACAGAATTTTTCTGGATTGTTTCAAAACTGCATTCACCTGTGGTTTTGCGCTGCCGATAGAATTTTAACTTTAAAATTGTACCTCAGTCTGTAGCAGCTCTGTATTGGCAAAGGCGTAAAATGAGCATGTCGATAGTACTTTTGAAGTTTAATGCTATTAATGGTTCCAGCTCTAATTCAACCAAGATTCATCTGAGACTATGAGAGACACCACTTGTAACAAAAGTATTTTTGTCTTTTATTAGGCAAGCATTGCTGGAAAACCAGACAGGCTGTTAAAAAATGGAGAGATTTCCTTCAAGTCTGAAACAGAAGCAGACTCGAAAATAAGCAGAGACTACGAAGACCTGCTTTTAGTCTAACTTCACTGTTACCAACTTCAGAGAAATTAACAGTTGCGTTGAGTTTTACCAAACTCAGTACAATGTGTAGATCGCCAAGTAGTAATAGAAGGACAATTTTTTTCTTCATCTCTGGTTAGACAACCTTCCTTTTTCCTGAACCACAAGTTTAGCCATAGGAATACAGATTATTCAAGGCTTGAATATTGTAATAGTCTCAATATTCAACATTTATCATGGAAGCACCAAATATACTCCAGTTAATCTAGCACACAGCAATCTTCTTCACAGGTGGGGCATGATGACAGAATTTAATACAGCCAGTCTATTTTTAAATTGTATTTCAAAAGTTCTGTGTTTCAAGGTCATCGTTGTCTCTCCTCATCTGCTGCTGTATTTCCAATTCTATGAAAATGGACACTGAGGGGACCAATGTTCAAATCTACACACGTTAAGGCACAAAACTTTCCACTGTAGATATTTCTTGCTACTGAAGTGGAGATGAATCCATATGGAATACTTCTTTATCACAGTGCAAAACCTAACCATTCACAAAGACAGCTCTTCCCAACATAAATAAGCTATCAAGCTGATAGGTTATTCCTACGGAAAGTTAATTCAACTTGAAGGCGAAGGGCAAAAGAGAATCCTTATCTGTATCAACAGAGAAAAATGCTATCTCCTAGTAACAGTTTTGATGCTTCCCCATTCATTAATATGCCAGTAAATGAAATAAACAGATAGGTAATTAGGACTATTAGGTAATACTCAACCCAGTAAAAACCATGTAATAGAATTTTGTTTACACATCAATTAATTTTATTGTATTTTTGGCTTGACACAAAGTGTTTTAATAATTTATTCAAAATTCTCATGCAGTTGTTTTTAAATTAAAAGCACACCAATCAACCTACCATAATCAGAACTAATTACATTTACACTAATGTCCTCTGATTTAAGAGCTCTTCTCACTTCAATTTTCTTGGTCCAATTTCCAGTTTTCAGCAGCAGAGAATCCCTGTAACATGTCAGTACAGTTTTGTTAGACATGGACAACGAAAACAAGACTATACACTACGGCACCTGTAACCAAGTGGAAGAGCCCTTATTTGGTCTTAGTTCTTGGATTTTCCTTGATAAGTGGCCTAAGAATAACCTTCCAATAATACACGATTTATGGCCATAAGAGAGCCAGGATCCTGCAGATCAGTTTCAGTTCTGCCAAAAGTGCCAGACTTCGGCCAGAACTCACATGAAGGTCACGCAGTTGGAAAAGATTTTGCTTCTCTTTTCCCATTTGCTCCAAGCATATCTTAGCCAACTGGAGAATTTAATTCCATCTCTGAGTGAAAAACAATTTTAACAATATGATATAAGTAAAGAAATACAGCTAATAAGAGTGAGTAACAACTTGAGAATGTATCTTTTTAGTAAGTATTTTACTTTTATATTTAGGTGGAAATTATTGTGACTTCCATAATATGACATCAGTGTTTTACAGATATTTACACATACTCTCTGTGCTGACAAGCGCACTGGCACGTTTTTGGGGGTTTTGAATCTTGGGCAGCATTTTAACTGACAACAGCGACTAGAAAATGCAGTAGGATAAACAATAATTTTGTACCATTCAGCATCAGTAGAAAGTATTGCAAAAGCTGCAAGTCACTGAAAGGATTAAAAGCCGACAGCCTTAAAATATGTGAGGCAACCCCCCCGATCATACATACGTAATTTTCTGATTAAAAATGACTTGGTTGTCAGCATCTCCTATGACCAATGTAACATAGTGAAAGTCTGTTGCTGTTCTCTTTGTCTGTAGCTGCTCATAATTTGTTAATTTGATGGTTACTAAGATTTCAGCCAAAGTCTCGCTGTATTTTGGAAGCTAGGAAAAAAGGATATACAAGACAGAAATGCTAAAATATGCAAAAGTAAAATACATGCCCTTCCATTCCTAACTCTTGATACAAGCACAAAAGCTCTATTCAAGCAATTTCAATTTGTGGTACAATTGTAATTTGTTGTTCTGAGACCCTATTATACAGTACTAACTTGCCCATAGCTGAATATCCTGAATTTGAGTAAGTATTCAGAGTAAAAGACCGCTTACATTAAGCCCTTGAAAAATTCTCCTCTGTTCAATGCAAAGAGAAAGATGCAAGAAGAAAACTAGGTATATTTTGGCATCCCAACATTCCTCTGTAAGATATTTAGAATTGGTAAATCTTTCATCTAAGATCTGACTTTAGAGATACTCAGCTGGTAGTACGTCAAATGAAAAACTAAAATAGAATGGACCGTTACAACAATCGTATTACACACATTTGTTGAGTTTTTAACTTCTAAGTTGTCTTCATTTGTACCAAGTTCATGAGACACTTTAAGGCTATTTTTCAACTTTTGCATTTCAGAAAGGTAGAGTGGCTACGTGACCCGTTTAAAGACAAAATGCATGTCGGAACCTCAAAGCTCTTGACAGCACATGGAATTGCAGCCTGCCTTTGAAAGGGCACCAGCTAGGTTAATGTAATAATTCCCTGTTTCTCTATATTCCTAAGTCTGACATAGAAAATACACGAGTTAATGCTTCTTCAGTAAAGTTTATATGGATGCTTTGCTGTCTCTAGGGTTTGTTTATATTCAAGACAGAGGAGACCTCTCAGACTCACATAGAATGCTAGAACGTGGAATATACTGGTTTGCATCTGTAACATCAAATGCTATTAACGAGAGAGAGAGAGGCCAATGTATTACAGGGAATGCCTATTCCAAGGCTCTCCTTCGATGTTTAAGAGTTTGATCATACATGCTAAGGCAGAAGGAGGCCACAATATTGTGTAATCTCCTGTCAGCAAAGGCTCAAAATTTCTTTAAGTCAGTATTTACTCTTCCATTTAATAATATCAGCATAAAAACATAAAATAAATAGAAAAGCATTTACCTGTTCAATGTCAAGCTCATATTTTGGAAGGTGCAAAACAGATTCTTTTATCTGGTTTCCAAAAGGAGGATGTCTGTTTAAAATCTGCAAAGATTTAATTTCATTTCTGATACATTCAGCTCATCAGAGATGCCAACAGAAATGTAAATCCAAGGAATCAAAGTCACCAGGGTAATTACGCTATCAACAAAAGCCCGCATCACTCCTGGTTCTCTACTGTCAGGATGCCCAGAAGAGCAGCATAACCAAAAGAAAATTCCCATACTTTTTCACGTTGCTACCACTTCTGTTCAGGCAACAGCCAATGAACTAATCAATGACCTCAAAACCCGACTACTCGGGTTTTATATGAGATGACTCTTCTATGTTGCCCTAGCTTAAGTCAAAACGAAACAAATGACAGGAAAACTGCCAAAGAGGGTAGAAAAGTGAAACCAAATTCCTAAAGCCAAAACAGAAAAACCCAAGTAAGATCAATTTCCTTTAGAAATCCGATACATCTTCCAGAACACTGGAAAAACAGTTTCCTGGGAAGAGAAGCCAAGAGCCAAAGAACTTGTCCTGAGGTAAAATCTAACCTTCCTAAAATAAGAAGTGCTTTACAGATGATTCAGAAGAATTTTATCCTATAACTATCTTTAACTAAAACTAGCAATAATGGAAATTCAGGATTCTCATCACTAACATACATTAGGAGAAACTGTAAGCACATATTCCCTTTTATATTTTATCTAACACTCCTAAGAGGGAAATGCATATTGTCTTTTGTTTCAAACCATGTTAATGATGCAATTCTACATATTAAAGCAACTGCTTTCCAAAACCCACCAAATGAGTGAAATTATCCACATTAAATTTGCTGGAACAAAACATCACACATATTTTCAAGCAGTAGCCACATATTCTTTTTTTTTTCACTAGTATAAATGAATAAACAACTTAAGACACTCAATTTTGCTGACAATCATATAGCAGATATGGATTAACCACACCACTTTTACTGGTAACAGTATTAATACTCAGTATTTTCCTTATCATATTTATCTGCGTACAAAATAATAAATTACCAATTCAAGTTCCCTTGCATTTATGTCTTCTATTTTTTTAAACGATGTCAGCCCAGCATTTACCATAGCGTTTGACAGCGATACACCTGTGAAAAATTTAAGTTTTATGCTGTTAAATGACAACCACCAATCTCAAATTATTTGCCTTTTATAGCAGGCAAAACTAAAGCAGAAATCATTTTATAGTATGTTTATCCCAGCTTTTTGGGATAAATCAGTAAATTTTTTAGTTGAATAAATATTTCAGCATTATTTAATTTCACTTATGTTAGTAAAGAGAAAAAGAAATGCAACACAAATCAAACATGAAAACATTCAGTATTTCAGACTTTTTCCCTTTGTCTTTATTTCTGAGCAAGAAAAAAACCAGAGGTGGAAATCAAACTAAACAGGTAGTAAAGGTGATAAATCCTGTACAGCAAGTGATCATTATCTTGTCTGTCAGAACAAGCAAACAGAAATCAAGGAGATCATACAGCAACAAGAGGGAGCATCACTGTTGGACAAGAGTAACAAGTTGAGATACTTGTAGAAATGCAATAGGAATTCTACTGAATCCTCATTCTCAGTAAGGCCAAATGGCAGTTAAAGAACAGTCACTCTTATAAAGGAAATACTGAGTACTAGGACTTATTTAAGAATCAAAAAACAACATACTGTTTAAAAGCGTTTAAAAGTTGGGGATTTCTGAATATGTTACATGCTACCAGTAAATTTCTGTGAGCTCAAACAATTCGCTTAACTTCACAAAGACAGAGAACAGGCTCAGCAACCATAACATGACAGAGGTCAAGAATCAGACACCATAACATAGGCATCAATTCAATGTTTGATTCAGGAAGAGAGTGAACTGCCAAGCAGACAGTTCAAAACAAGACTGTGAGTGGGCAAACTGAACTTCGAAAGTCAGCAATTCCTTGTAACTTATGCTGCAAGAGCAATGACAGCATAGGGGGAAAAAAAAAGTGAGGCAGACTCTCGAGACAACCGTGTGCACATCGGCACAGACCCAGAAGTCGTGGAAGTGGGTTCCCACCACGCTGTACTGTGCTGCGCACAAGCTAACAAGCCCTGTCCCTTGCTTTGAATCCACAAGAATGAAGCAGCACAGGTTCTGCCCCTCAGCTGGCAGGGCTGTACTGCACTGTACCATACGGGTCTTCTGGCTTAGCTGTTCTCTAATTTGGAGATCTCTGTACTGTTCTTTGCACAGTAAATGTGTCTTTAAAGAAGAAATACAGAGAACACGTCAGTGAATTCTGAAAATGTGAAGGTATGGTAAGACCAGACATCAAAGCAGGAAGCTACACTATTACCTCAAACAAGTGTAACTACATTTTTGTAACACAGAGGACTCCGAAGTTTCTGAACTCCTTTTCAAATAATTATGACAGGTCTGTACTTCCAGCCAGAAGTTCATCCAGTAACAGGATGCAGCGATGGGAAGATTATTAGAAACCTGTGATCCTCGTGTGTGCAAGAACCTCATGCGCAGTAAAATTATTTCTATTTCATGATTCCTACCCATGCCAGTGCAAATTAAAGGGCTTTCACGCCTATGAGTAACAGGACTACAGCGACAGCTGTTTGGACGAAGGCATAGCCTAATCAGAGATATGCAGTCACAGAGACGTGGAATATGCCCGAGATATGGAGATGAACACTAAGAAAAAAGAACAACTCTGAAATACTTCAAAAGCCTGAAGAAAATTACTGAATGGATTACTTTTACTTTTATCGTGACAGACTCTTCTGACAACTGTGGTACCCGTTGTGGCAAATGAGTAATTAGGAGACTCCTTTTACTATGTAAGCAGACACCCCAGAAATTAGCAGGCTAATTATGAGTTTCGATTCTCTATCAGATTACACCTTTATAATTTTTGACTAGTACCTACCTATTTTTTCCAATTGTTTGGACACATGAAGTGAATTTTCCCAAAGTTTGCACCTGAAACATTTTGCTAAAATCAGGGAGTTTAATAAAGCAGAAAAGTTGTTCTTACACGATGCCAGAAAGTCAGATAACCCTGTTAAAATAAGATTGACTTGTATTAATCAAATAAAATGTAGCTTATTATTATATGTACCAAAAAAGGATTAAATTTTACCATACATCTAGTAACTCTTAAGCCATTTCTAAATATTCTGCCAGTATCTTGTGTCAAAGTAAAGTCTTGAACAGGAATGCATCCTAGCTGAGCCTGAATAAGACTGGAAAAAAAAATATTTTTTGGTGTATAAGCCATACTGTAAGCAAAGTATAACAACATCAAAGCTTCTACTGGAAAACGAAAGAAAATTCAGAGTAGAAACACTGAAATGCAAGATCTGTTCCCCTATAAAATAATACAAATTTTAGCAGGGACTTCAACTGCCATAAAAAGACAGCTTTTCAATAAAAAGTAACCACATAATATAATATTTACCAGTTTATTTTCATTTCTCTTGTTTTTATCTTCCCCTCCATTGGAAACCTATGTATGAAAATACACATATTTTCTGCTATTCATTTTATTTATTGCTAAAAAGATACTTTCCTTTTTCAATGTATTTATTTTTTTTATACCTGATAGTTATTTTGGTCTTGTCTTTATTCAAAGTGTTCAGCATTTTCTTTTCATTTGTTCTTAACTTGACATCCAGAAATTCTGTGCAGTTGGAGATCATTGTAATCTGTAACGATTTAACTTTTTTAGTAATTGTTTTTCTTTGCCACTTTTTTTTACCATTTCTTCCAACTTTTTTTTTTTTTTTTTAATTTCATTGTCTCAGGAAAAGATGGCCAATCAGTTCTAATTCTGACCAACTTTGTTTCATCTTCCCATAAAGGCTGATACAAACAAAAGGGAGAGATCTTTCTGTCAGTTTTTAGATTACTATTCCACTTGAAATTATCCAAAAATCAACCACTGCTTGCACTTTATGACATACAAGGCACATACAATTAGTTTTTGCTATCTGTTATGTATATCACTTTACTTTCTTCATAGTTCAGTAACAAAGATAGCCACAGGAGAACAGGCATTCCAGTTTTTCATGGCAAATCTGTCCTACCAAAGTATTTGCTTGAAAATAAAATGTCTTTTGTGACTTAACAGTAGCAACAACAACATGTTATCAGACAGACGAAAATGAAAACAGAAAGACAGTAACATTCCTTTAAAAGTAAAAGCTGCTCTCCATGCAGCGGGTTTTTGCAATTAAAATAAAAACCTATTAAACCACCAAACAGTGCTTACTACAGAAACTGAACAGCTTCAGCAACTTTGCATCTTCACAAGCAAGGTTATAAGGGGAGAAAGAGTTGGAAATGGAAAGATCTCAGAGTACAAAACCTCAAAAATACTCCATTGTTTAGATGAATTCTCTAAAACTTTATATAAACAGAGCCTGAGCTCTTTGAAAGAAATAAAGACTTCTGCTTCTTATCTCTGATTCTGTTTAAAATAAATTGAACACAGGTACATTTTTCTTTAAAAAGTTAAATTACCAATTCTTTTAAAGTCTCTGTTCCCTTAATTGTGAAAAATTGTTTCACTGTATCAAATGCAATATAATACCACGCCATTAATCTTCCAGTCTCTGTAAAAGAAAAACATACCTTAAAAAATAAATACACCAAGTATTTTTTTAGTGTGTTTTTTTAAAGACACAAAATCAAATTAATTTTCTTATTACAGGTCTCTCTGAGATTCACCACACTGACTCGGTATGTTATTGCCCCAGCTGTCTGATGGATATTACTGACCATAGCCTGGCAGAAGGAAACAGGCGCCAGCCAGAGTTTTCTCCAACGGAGATGAATTCACACTAATATACTGTGTGTGCTGTGAACTGCGGTGGCTGAGAAGCCAACCACCTCTCGCAGAGGGTTGTAGAGAACAGCAGGCATTGATAAAACCTGTCCTGCATTGCACTGTGTCACATCCAAATATCCTGTGATAATGTCCTGTTAATTTTCTCCTAATCTGCAACAAAATTTCCAGCAACAAGGGAAGATCTATTCATAGATCATCATTAAGAGAATGAACTTCCACGATTTGTTAAAGAAACTTGCTCATATATTCTGTCAAACAATTCTACCCTCCACTACGTTTGTGTACTCCCATTAATGGGTTGTGACCCTTTGCAGTTCACTACCATCTCAACATCGCTTCTGAAAATGAGTTTATTTTAAAAAGTCTTACCTGTTGGTTTGAAATTATTTGCTTCATCCATCCTGATCAAATCAAAAGATGATAAGTCGTTTAAGTTCTTCAAACACAGTTCTGTCGACAATTTGAAAATAAATGGGTTTTTTTAGTACAGACAGAAAAACTTACCTCTGTACAGACCAGAGGCATCAGCGTCAAACCGCAGGGAATGTATACCCAAGGAATGCCACTGAACTCAAGGTTTTAGAATGGGATCCTGCTTCTACTAAAGTGGGTGGTTCACTTCTGCCTGGGAAAAGCTCACTCAGAGATATCTTTGATACAGGACAACCCAACTCTTTTTCAGTAAAGGAGAAGTAGCAAAGTAAAAGAAATGAGATGCACGGAATGTAGGCTGCCACGTTCAGTTCTGGAGAGCCTGCAGTATTTACACAGATTTCCACTACAGTGTTAACACTTAAATGGTTGAAATTTCAAATATCCACAGGTATTTATGAATCCTTCATCAGAAATTTTCATACTGTGTCAGGTGTAATTGTATTTACTTCACTAAACCTATTTAGTTGGATACTTGCACGAAGATGACCAAAGCGTTTTGTTTCTCTCTTTCAAAACCAAGGTAATTAAAAGGCAAAAATACATTAATACAATGTTCAGAATTTAAAAGTAAGTTGGGAAAGCACTCAAAGTGATAGTTCCCACAGCAACCAGAAATCATTCACATTGCACATGTATGAAAACATAACCAACTATACACATTACTACAAAATACTTCATGTGTGCAGGGAAAAGGAGCTAGTTTCCGTAAAAGCTTTAAAAAGAGGTTGTTTTTAAGATCAGAGCACTTCAAGGAAATGTAATCTACACCTAAAAAGCATTTGTAAATGAAGCCTTCTACCCTAGCACTATCTGTAGAGGTGATTTCAAACCATGCCTTCTCCCATAACAGCTTATTTAGGCAGTAACATGCTTCATTCCCTCCATTCCTTTCAACCAACATGCCAAAACCAGAAATGTCCTGATCTAAAAGACAGCAAAAGGCAGAAAACAACTAAAGAGGCATATGAACCAGGTAACTTTTCTTACTGATAAGTACTCCTTTTTTCCCATCTGCAAGTCACAGCCAACGTCCCTCATATTTGGAGGCTTCAAGCAGTAGTGTATATACCAGGTGTACTCCTGGAGATGGGCCCTCAAAACCCTTACACAGTAAACAGCCACAGCATAGTTCCACCAAGCCCAACAGCAATCACCAATTTGTCTGCAGAATTGTGTAAAATTTAATAAATGTGCAAGTGGAGCCCAAGCATTGGCTCTACAAATTTCAGGGCTTATATCAGTCTACGTTTTCACGTACCAGGACCCCTCCAAGATCTTTAAGCTCCAAATGGTCTAGTATACAAATACACAGGGTTATGATGGACATGAGGACTTTCACTGAAAAGAGAGAACTGCATTTGTAGATTTGCAGAACTCCATTTACAATCTTAGCAAGCAGTCATTTATTAATATACTTGTTTTGGACCTACTAGAAGACTTACATTAAAATAAATAAATAAATAGAGTTGTATGCTATTTCCATATTTAAAGGTGAGAGGCACTGATTCCCAAACTATTTAGTCAGCTGTATGTTTTCTGATGGAACTGTAAATAACTAAAATGCAGTCCTTAAAAAATAAATTGGGTTTTATCCAAGTCTTAGCAAAAAAAAAAAAAAGCCTTTCAAAAGTAGTCTTCCAGTAAATTTTACAGTATTACAAGAAAAACATACTACTGCTAATTTTTTTTTTAATCTGTAAAGTCGGATGCCTCATTCTCACAGTACTGCTCGCTTGAAGACCAAGTGCAATTTCTTAATTATGTTAATTATGTATTTACATTTTCCTAGTTCTTTGCTATTGTATTATGTATTTGCTATTCATATGCAAATTTTAAAACTAAATTTGGAATTAAAATAGCAAAATCATTCTTAAGAGGATCTGCTGTATCCACACATCTGAGATATGACTGACATTGCATAGAACGCTCAAGGCACAGAAGCCTTTGAAAGACTGCAAGTCTTCTTTGACGCCCCGACGCAAAATGAGTAACGAATCCATAAGGGCCAAATTTCAGGCAACAAGCAAACAGTACGCTAGAACATACATCCCCAGTGCAAAATGCCATGGTCAGAGAGTGGAATTCTCGGATCATACCAGCCCAGATGTCTGAACAGCAAACCTATACAGTATGAGTATTGTGACTTACCTGTACAAAAATACAGAATTTAAGATTTGCCCCTCTCCTCCAATTCACTGAGTCCATCACTGGACAAAACCTGCCACACTGGAGTTCTCTAAAATTACTTTTTCACATTAGTTAGGCATTTTTGAATGCAGAAATATCCATCATGAAAAAATGTGTTCTTTCTCTCCACCTGCTCTTTCTTATTGCTCCCTAACACGCTATAATCATGCAATTTTAAACTGTTTCTGAACAAGGTGAAGATGTTTGCATTTTGCATCCTTTGTTTTCAAAGCTAAATTTATGATGAAGGGAAGATGACAACTTCTGAAAAGGGCTTTTTTGAAAGTATAGTAACATAAATTAATGAAAGCAAATGAGATCAATCAAAGGAAAATTAGGAAGAATGACAAGCAATCAAAATTAAAAGTACCCTGCTCCATATTTCTGAGTATGTATATGGAGATGAGGTAGGTAAAGACATTTAATTTTTAATACAAGAAAAACTTTTCCACCAGTCAAAATGTACTGATAGTATTTCAAAAGTATGAATAATTAAATAAAATCAATAGCACAACATAGAAAATTACATTTGTTCTGTGAATGGATCTGTTGAAATTAATGGAGATACATAATAAACATGGATGAACCTGCCCCAAAACGTAACATTTTACTGAAAAAAGCTTAAAAGCCACTTACCTTGTAATTTTGCTTCAATTCCGATTTTATCCAATCCAGATGAAAAACCTTCACGAAAAGACAAAAAGCTTTTCAACCTAATACAGTGATATACTTCCTCCTCAATATCATTACCCATCAAAACTGATTTGCTGATTTTTGGGGAGTCAAAGTGAAAAATTTGTAAATATTTATTATACTGGGAACAAGTCAAAAGCCTTACGTAATTAAAGTATCTTCGTATCAATAAGTGGCTGTTAGAACAGATGTGCAAAGGTAAAAGCTGCAGATATTCCCCTATGTAAAATGTCAGAGTCCAAATAGTTGCAGAAATGTCAGTGAGCAACCTCACATGTAGAGTTTTCCTATTTTAGAGTATCAGGAAGCCACCTAAATTGTATCATCCATTACATACACCATAGATGTACTATCTTCCAGTCCCATCTATAAATCCTTAAAAAAAATTGTCTCCAGCAAGAGCCCCATGACTTCATAATCAGGTGTAGACCAAGTGGCCAGGAACAAAGAGACGGTCAGGGCTGGAGACTAAGAGGCTGTTCTGGACATGACAAATTGAAGACAGTAGCATCAAAATTACTGACATTTTGTTTTAGAAAAACTACGAAATATTAGACAGTCTTTTTTTCTGAGCAGCAGATTACACATTCGGCGCTGAAATGTACATTATGGCTTGACACTGCATTGATAGATGGTCCAGTGTATTAAGATCAAAAGAAACAGATCATTATGAAGCTGTAAGTGGCTTCTTCATAGTTTGTAAATGTTATACCATGCTGGAACTCCTACTACTTATATTAAAGCAACTGAATCTGTTCCTAAAAATGTTACAGGCCATGTTACACATCTTGTTTTCAGCCCCTTATGAAATAATAGTCCATATGAAAGCAAAAGAAACGAATAATATGGATCTAACACATCCAACTGTCATAAACCGATTAAAAAAACCAAAAACAAACCATAGTGAGTTGGATTTTTTAAGGCTCTAATGTACAAGAAAGTTGATCGTATCCATTCCAAAGCTACAGTGACATCTGTGACAGTATGTAGCACAATTTCTGCATTTAAGTGCTCGACAAGGTGCCTGTGCAAACTAGCAAAAAAAAAAAAAAAAAAAAAAAGGTAAGTACATTTACCAATTAGTAGTACAAAAAGTGCTAAAACTATTTTTAAGGAAAAAAACCCAAACCCCTCCCCCCCAAACCCCCCCCCAAAAACCACAACAATTTTCTGGGCCCCCCCCCCTTTTTTTTTACTGTCCACTGTTTGCTTTAATCAGTAAAATCAGTAGAAAACAGTAAAGAATATGTAAATAATCAACAACGTAGTTTGTTTATTATGGCTTAATGTCCAGCAAGCAAAAATAAAACCACTTTGTCAACTGTGAAGTTTCACAATTATGTAGAAAACAAAGCTACATATATTTAACAGTTACAGCACAGTGTGGATATTTTGAATATATTTGAAAAATTAAATCTTAACAAAATTACATTAGCAGAATTTCCTGGTCTACCCTTTAATGTCTTAACTTTCCTGTTTCTCTTCATATTCTGTTCACATCCAGTGAACTCTGGTATTTTCCAGACCCTATAATCTAAAAATTCAGAGACATTATCTGGGTTCAATCCTTGCTTTTTGTCTTTGCAATATGTTCTATCTCAGTTTCTTTAGCTTTCCAGCAAGAATCTACAACTAATTCTTTTGGTTATGTTTAAGATGTTCTAAAGATCTTTTTAGCTGATAGAACAGAGCCTGATAACTTCTGAATAGCTTGATTTGATTTTCCTTCAATTTTTCTTAAATTTCTTCTAAATAGACCAAAAAACCACCCCGAAATCCACCTGAAAAAAACACATTCTGTAGAAACTATGAAACATTGTTACCATCTATATAATCTTATAAGAAATGCTTAGTTACCTGCTCTCTATTATATCAGAACCATTTAACATCTGTATATACCTCTCCCTTGTACTCCACCGAGTCATAATAACTGCTGTCGCTGTAGTGTCAAACTGAAAAATAAAACTGCAACCAAAAACTGCTCTCTGGCTCTTCGCAAGAACAATTCCAGTAGAATATGCATCACATATCTGTTGAAACTACGAAAACTGGTTTCTTAAAATCCTTGTTGAAAGGGCTGTTGAACGCCAAGGCCTCTCTAACCTAAAGGCAATTCCTAAGGCGTTTGGGTAGGAAGCAGGACTGGGGATTCAGCCACCACTGCAGGCAGGTCAGCACACCAGCCTACACGTGCTCACGCACACACACCAGACACACGTGGAGAAACAACACAAACACAAACTGTTAGTGACCTCCTTACGAAGTCCACAGCCAAGGAAAGGATTCCTAACCACAACTACAGAAAATAATTTACTTGCTAATTCTCATTAGCAACCCCCAAAGACGAGAAAGTCTCAAATGAACAGTCAAGCCTTTTATAGCAATTTTTTACCATCTTCATCATTTACTGTCAAGCCACCTCACTTGGATTATTTCAGTTTGCAATGGAAAAAATACCATTAGACTGACTTATTGGTTTTTGTATGAGAAGTTTCCCGACTTTTGCATTTTTAGATGAGATCAGTGTAGTACTGGAAATGTAATACTGAAAGACAGACCTTGGTAAATATTTCAGGTCTTGACTCAGTAAGTTAAAGTGGCTTAGGATTCTGAGTGACAACTTTAGAAATCTTAATGAATTACAACCTCTAGCAAAAACCCCGAATCAGTTAAGGTTAGGAATATCGGAATTTTCATACTAGTTTAGATCTTAGGTCCACATAAAATACTGTCACATACACAACATACCACAGTGGCTAATACAAGCAGCCTCTGCAGACAGATGTGGGGCAAGCTATCTCCTGTATTAGGCTTTATCTGTATTTCTAAAAATTAGAAGACTTGAAAGTGTAAGATTTAACATAAATGATTTGGAGACTTTAAAGAGGTATAATTAAAATAACCATTTTTAAGTATCTCCCCCCCGCCCTTCCTTTTTACAACCAAAGCAATGTCTAACCCTTTCTAAACCAGGACTCTTGGCATCAGCAACATCTTGTGGAAGCAAAACAAATTATGGCCTTTTGAAGGCTGTGTTTCTGACCCTCCCCCTCTACTCCACTTCTAACTTAATTAGATGTTTTCTTGTTCTGATGTTATGAGAACAAAAGCACATTGCTCTCTATACTATTCTATACTCCAGAATTCTTATCATGCACTTTATAAGTCAGCTTCCTACTTTTTCTCTAAGCCCCATTTGCTACACAACTTAAATGTAATCTTTAGATCTTTTCCCACAGCAAGGTGAAGCAGTACTTTTTAGGGGACAATACAAAAGCAGACAGACTTCTTTCTCAATTAAGAAGTTACCCAGGAGCAATGAACTATTAGTAACAACCCTTTAAAAAACAAATGCTGCACTAAAAGGGTTGCCATTGTAGTTTCTTTGCCAAGAATCGTTTCTACTGATCTGCCTTTAGATAGCATCAATATAATACAGCATTAACTTACTTGAGGCCTTCCTGCTCTCCCAATCATTTGCAGAATATCAGTTTCACTGTACTCTTGGAACACTCCTCCAACATAGTGCATTGTGGATTTTATAACCACCAGATGTGCAGGTAGATTGACTCCCATAGCCAAGGTGCTAGTAGTAACTACATCAGATTAAAGTAGATTGATTGGAAGATGAGCACGACTGAAATGTCTGGCAGACATTAAACAAGCAGCAGATAAGTGACTAACTCTTGATTCCCAAGAGCTCTTCTTTTCTAGTGAAGTCAGTGGGTGTTCTGCACCACAAAGAATTAGACATAGATTACAGACATATATTTGCATAACAACTTCTATGTATCTGATCATCAGCATTTATTTATTATCCAGTATTCTTTAACTAATTACATCACACGTATTTTTATTTAAACACTCCTTAACATTTGGAGATAATCCAGAATCCTGTCAGTCTTCAATATAACACACAGACACTGAAGAAACGTTATTTGTATTTCTTCATAGATAGATACTTGACTACAGCCATGAATTCATCTTGCTTTGTAGTGATCAATATCTTTAAGAGTTTTTTTTTTCAAGTCACCAGTCATTAGCATTGTTTATATCCGTGGTACCAAACCAGAATCATCACCAATACTATCACAGTACTGCACCAATACACACTCTCACATGGAAAACACCAAAGTTTGTGGCAAATTCTCTCACGCTCCTATTTTCTAATTCACTTTGTCTGACAAACATATGGGGCGGCAGGAATTGAATATGGACAGACAGCTACACAGGCCAACTGATACAACTATTTCACTAGGAAAACAAAGTATTAATGAATTTTCCAATTCTTTTTTGAAATGAAAGAACTAAAATTAGTAATTATAGATGCATCAGGAAAGAAGAATCCAATCTAAAGGCATAACCACACCATCTTGTGAGGATATTAACGTTTTTCGTATTTTGATGGTATGCAAAATGGGAAATTTGTCAAAGCAAAATGACGTAACCATAAAAAAGTTGCAAAGAAGGTTACTTAGCAGTGCAATCAGAGCTTCAGCCCATGTATATCCACACAGACAAGCAGTGAGTATACGTACACTCTACTTCAAAATCAAAGAATTTTTCCCCTTGGCAATATCTCCAAAAGGTGTGTTAAAACCCCAACCCCTGTTACGCTCACAGACACATAAAGTGGAACATGCCCCGTACTCTTCCAGTTTCCCCTCAGTTGTAGAAATGTAATTCTAGTACCTCAAGATGATTCTGAAATATTTATACAAACTATAAATTTCAAAGGACTTCAGTACCAATACGCAACTTTCTGTTCTTTCAGTGGTAGTCCGTGTGCACATTCACATTGTGCTCAACTTTGAGACCCTGTGTCACTACTATTTTTGCAAAGAGCACTTGTAGAACCACAGTCTCCTGGGGTTTCAGAAATGGTACCGCAGTTGGCAAAGCCACACACAGCGCACCGGGCAACCAAAGTACAGTAGGTTGCAGGGATGCAGAGACTTTTTAATACCATGGACACTGCAACTCTAGCAAAGCTGCCAGATCACAGTAGGGTATCTACCTTAAATTTTCATAGTGAGTCATGACCATTGTACAGGAAAGCAAAAATCCATTAATCTTTCAGTGTTGTACGTGAACCACACAGACAATTCCCCATAGGGTCTGAATCTTTTTTACTAGAAAAAGAAAGCCTTGATGAGATGAGACGTGATGGTCTCAAACAAGACACCTTCTCATTTCAGGTCACAGCAGATGGAATACTTCTTAGGAACCTCCCCATCAGTCAAAACACCTTGCATGGGAGTTTGAAAATATTATCCTTCCCATCTAAGAAGCATCAATGTAAAAGATTACCTTCAGGGAAGTCACTGCTGCAAAGGACACAGACAAAGAAAACATCATGTGAGCTCTGAGGAGAGACACACTAGCAGAGAGTTCCACCTCAACTCATGGCTCAGTGGTACGAAAGGGAAACGGACATGGCCAGACTGACAGAGACATATGGGGGAGGATGACCCCCGTGTATGCTGAAAAGAAGACAAGTTCTATCATCTTTAGTAAAAGGGCATATGTACACTCACAGGGTAAAAGTGCACGCGAAACACAAACACACCTTTATCTGCATCTCACAAAGTAATTCCAAAGGTTAAACAAAATAGAGAATCATAAAATATTAGCGCTGCCAAACTGCAATCTTTTCAGGACACATTAACAACATTTTGACTTTCAAAGTTAAATTTACTTACAAAGTACTGGTAAGTCTCCTACAGTAAAAGCTCCTTCAATTATTCTTCTGTCAGATACCTCCATACCCGCATGATGATAAGCCACACCGTACATCAAAAGATCTGATAATGAAATTATTATATCCATCACTTGACTAAGGTTACCTAAGCAAGTATTCCTTCACAGAGCAGAGCAGTAGGTTATAGTTACCTCTCAGTTTGGAATCTTTCAATGAATTTGCCGACCTCTGTAATCTATGCAACACAAAAGAATAAAAGAATACTTCAAAATCACAAAACAAATTCACTAATGTAAGCATAATATACAAAGACAAAAATGTGGTTTTAAAAAGCAAAAATAAAGCTTCATATGGAACTAGATATAGTTACCCCAGGAAAGATCGTAAGATGTATTGCTTGACACGTACATTTGTTACATACTTTCCCACAGTCCTACTGCATTTGTGCTTTTTAAGGATGCTCTTAGTTTTCAACTATATGTTAGACCATCAAAAGAACATAGTCTTAAAATAACTTTTAAAATATACATTCTTTGCATATTTTCAACCACCACCTTTCCCATCTTCACAAAGGGAACAAACTGACTCTCTGGGGTAGCTGTTGCAGCCTTTCCAGCCCAGTCATCTCGCCAAGTCACACCCTACGGTCTAGATGTGTTGTTCACATAAAGCAAAGATGACCCTGTTTGAGGTGCAAAATCAGGAAGTAGTTTCTGCAGCTGCCACGACTAGGCAACCCTGAAGTAAATAATAATTAATACGGGTCAGGGCTGTATTTAGTAAAGGTATCTGATAACGCAAAGACTTCTTGCGGCTCACTTGTAACACTAGTAAGACCACACCCAATCCAACTATGCATATGCTTAATCTTTGCACTACAAGGCCTTATAGGTCCCCAGGAATTAAAATTTGTCTGTTTAGAAAGCAGCTTTCAGAAACAACTTCATGTTTGTGAACAGTACCCCAAAAATCTGAGAAGCAAATAAAGCCTCCCAACAAGAGCACCAATTTACCAAAAAGAATGTCAACTGTGACGATGATTTTGTGGCAGAGACTCCTCAGCTAGAAATTGCATTAGCTCAACAGCTTTCTTCACAGATGTCACAGTTTTACTAAAACACCCAAACCCTTATTAACAACTCAAATACAAAAATACCTTTGTTTCTGTTCTACACTCAGTAGAAATTTAGCATCTTTTGCAAGAACAGAAGCAGCCTGCTGTACTCCTTTTCTTGTGGCACAAAACTATAAATAAGAAAAGATTTTTTTTGAATCAACACTTTTAAGAAAGAAACGATTTCAAATGTGATGAAAAAAAAGCTGGTGTACCACAAGTGCTGGCTTTTGTTCCGAGTATGTTTGTATAATACCGGCTATCTTGTAGTTAAGAGTTAAGTCAAATTTGAATTCTGTCAGATTGTCGCTGCAAGGAAAACCAAGAACAATTTTGCGTAGCTTCACCGGCCGTTGATCCTCATCTATTTTCAGACATACAGCAGACATCCTACTATCTGAAAGCCATTCTGCAATCTTTAAAAAAGAAGAAACAGAAGGGAAATAATAAATTTCTGCTTTCATCACACTCTGCTCTAACCGCATCACACAATAATTAACTTAGCTTTTGTCACACATAAACTATTAACACATTTACAGGACCAATATAATTCGGACTGAAATCTCAAGCCTGTTGTGATTTGTACTTAAGAGACAACAATCACAACAGAAATCTAAAACTGAAGCATGTCCATACTTGTCTGATTTGTCACATTAACATCAACCTCACGGCTGTCTCTGGCTGACAGTTTCAGAATGACAACTTTGTAATCAATCTGAATTTATAACTCCAGGTAAATTTTATAAAATACAACAACATTAAATAAAATACAGTTTAAATGTAACTCTTACATCTTCAGCATTTGGGATTGTTGCAGAAACAGCTACAAATCTCAAGGGAGGAACAATGTCATGATTCTCTGAAAGACGCCAAAGAGAAGACTGAACAGTCTTCATCCGACTGACTACAACTTCTAATGTTGCCCCACGGCTTTCGTCCTTTATAACATGCACCTATTAGGGATTTTAAAAGATTTGCTAAATATCTTCCAGTTACAATCTATACATGTGTTAAATATTATATTTTCTGAGTTTCCTTTTATCTTCAAGAACAAAAATAGTGCATATAAAACATTAATTTTCTTACCTCATCAATAAGAAACAGTCGTACAAGCTGGACCATAGAGTTGTCTCTCCACCTTCTAGTCATGCTATCCCATTTTTCCTAGCAGAAGAAAACAAGACAACAAAAGGAGGACAGAAGGTGAAAGATGGTTTAAAGGCCAACATACACCAGAAGTACAGTACAGGCAGACCTGCCTAAACTTTTAAAAAAATCTTTAAATAAAATTGGTTAAATTAATTCAAGTTAATGCCATGTAGGTTTCATCTGGCACATTATTACATGACTAACTGTTGTCTATATGAACTAATATTTTGCACAGCAGTGTGCAGGCAAGCATAAGGATCATAAAATTACTACTTATTACACCAAAAAAAAAAAAAGGTGCAGCCCTAGTAGCATACAATTAGTAGACTACTAATGTCTGCTCCTTCTAGGTTTTTGAAAGAATTGGGATTGAAACCTACAGGTGTAGTGATAATAATGTGAGCATGATGTATTTCAAATAAATCATCCATCACTGTATCTCCTGTCAGTTCTTTGCAGCTGAGTCCTATAGGTCCAAATTTTTCTTTCCAATCATCAAAACGCTGACTGCACAGAGCTTTTATTGGAGCCACTAAAAATAACACAAAGTAATCAGAGTTACGTCAGGAAAAGCAAATCTTCGACTGTATCGCTGAAGATGCTAAATGCATACATTTTGAAGATGTCTTCTTGAATTTAATTTCTCTCATTTTCAGCTTTGCTCCCAGAACCATAAAATTCGTAACTGGTATTATCCTTATTATCCCATTCCACATGCACAGACTAACGTTGAGCTTTGGGCCCCAGTTCTTCCCTATCAGCAATCAGAAACAGAACCCTTTAATTAAGCTTATTTATGCCCTCGCTTAATACCAATTTCTTCCCTCAATCCCACGTGGAAACAATCATTCAACTATCAAAGGTTTTCTCACAGATGGAAGAAACCACAGTAAATATATCTTTTCTAATGGAAGATCATACAAATACCAGCCTTTTGCCTGTTCAGAATGATTTGAACAGTCTGTATTCAGAGAGAAAAGGAGTTATAAAAGAGAAACCATCCACAAGCAAGAGACAGAATACCAGAAGAAATAAAAATCTATCCAAACCAAATGTACAGTTAAGTGTAGCCAGGGTCAATACTGAGCAGCTAACACAGCAGGTAGAAGTTCTGATGCTGGTCCTCATGAACAAACTCCTAAATCTATTTCTTCATAAATTTTCTTTTTTCACCAGGGATACATACTATCATTTTGCAGATTGAGGCTGATTTCTAGAAATCAGAAATAATTATCTACAAGGACTGATAGTACCAACATATGTAAGTCTATATTACGTAATCTATGTAGAAAATGCAGCGATTTAAATGAAAGAAGTAGTGATCTACACGTGATCCTAAACCAGCAGTAATAAAATAGATCTTGCAGTATTACATTCGAGGCTAGTTAGAGCCACTGGAATGCAAACCGTTTCCACATACCAGTTGACAAGTGACCCCTAAGATGAAGAGATTTAAAGAACCAGTTTCTGCTTCAGAAAGAGGTGTGAAATCTCACGATCATATCAGTGGCCTACAAAGCAGAGGAAATCACTAGCTCCAGCAAACTGATTAAGCTGCCAGCAAGTAACTCACAAAGTTGCAAAAGCAATAATCTTTTGTATGCAAGAATGCAGGAAGTCAGTGATTGCTCCCAGAACTTCAGCCACCAATCCTTAGCATGTGTGAAAGCTACTGGGAAACAACTCTAATTTACACAGCTACTGCAAGAGAGTTCACATACACGGGGCCACTGAGGAACCAGGTACCAGAGCACACTCCAGCAGCACAGAATCTGATTAACACCTCTGCTCCAGCATTCAGAAAACTGACATGGCTCCTTCTCCATCCCTGCTGACCCTGGAAAGGTCAGCAGATCTAATTCCACCAGCAGGTAACTGCTTCCTTTGTACCAATTCTACTAAGGCCATAAAAAACATTAGAGTACACTGAAATTCTCCACCTCGATCCGCTGACAGAGAAACTAGAATACATGCCTGTTTACAAAAGATCTGTTTACAATACAGAGTAAACTCTAAATCAGCACTAGCTTTATTGTAAGAATTTGAACACATTGGATTTAAAAAAAAAATTAGGCTGAAACTTCTGTAAATATAAAGATTAACCATTAATAAAAAGACTGACAAACATATCACTATAAATTAATTAAATCTGGGACAAAACCACCAATTTAATCTGATTTACATAATATGAACTCAGCTCTCCAGGAAGGAAAGAAAAAAAGTGTAATGGTTGTGACTATCTTTGAGTATTTTCATTAGTTCCTGTACAGATCAATTAAATTCACACAGATCACACCTTTGTTGACTCTGAACTAGTAGACAGACACCAACAGTCAGCATGAAACCTTGCCAGGTCAGTGAATACTGGAAAATCTGATCCTCATCTCAGAGCAACAGACAGGCATACAAAAGAATCCATATGATTTCTGGCTCCGCCACTAAGTATTCCTTTTAGTTTCTTTGCTTCTTTCTTTCTTTTTCGTGTATGTCTTGCCTTCTTAGAGGACAAACTCTTTACAAGATTCTTCTTATTTTTATAGGCAATGCTGAACATTACAATTACACAGTGCTGTTAATTTTAACAACAGTTACAATGGTATCACAAATAAACAAACCTTAACAGAACCAATTTCTTAAAGAATGAGGCAGGTCACAATTTCTTAACATATTTAACTTCAATATTATTAAAGCACTCACTCCAGATCTCCACATTTATAGAACGACATTTTCTGCTGCTGTCACCAAAATGTTTAAAGCTGCATAATACTTACTGTAAACAACTTTAATATTTAACCAAGGCAGTGGGGCTTCCATGAGTAATCTTGTAATAGCTAGCTCGAACATTACAGTTTTTCCAGAGCCGGTTGGAGCAGAAATCACAAAATTCCTATCTGTATAAAGAAGCTAGAAAAGAATTGCAAAGCAGTAAATATAATACAGCTAGCCATTGTACCTATTCATACATTCCAAAAGCATTGTCTAGGGTAAAAGGACGCAGGAAATTATTATTACACTGATATGTATAGAGAGAGACCTCTAAAAGATCTTGGGAACTTTAAATTACAGCAAAAGAAAGAACATCTTCTGCTACACATCTGCCACAGAAATGTAAATGAGGCAATGTTCATCTCAGGTTATTATGGAATGAAGTCCACCATTCTGTGACCAACAAAAAACCCAGTATCTAGCCTTAGATGACATTAATACAGAATCACTGCCCATGCCCAAATGCAACCAAACAGGCTCATCAGAAAGAGGTATTTTGTGCTCAGATCCAAAGTGCAATTTGTTTTCCTTCTGTAATTCAATCTGCATTCAAAATTCCAACATTGTGGAATACATGTGATTTTAATAGAACGTTAAGTTTTCAATAATGACAAAAGTAGGTTTTGTGTGACTATGCTTCCCTCCTTCCTTCCCCCACATTCTATCCTCCACCATCTTAGAAGACAGGTATGTCCATGCCAGGTTCCCTCATTTTCCTCCAGTCGGGTTGACTCTATTCTCCTCCCTCCTCTGCAGCGTCACTCACCCATCCTCTCTCCATGCAGCACGCTCTATGCAGCTTCCTTCCTTCCCAACGCCTGATGGATTCTCCTTTGGGGTTCAACAAGGCCAAGTGCCGGGTCCTGCACTTGGGTCACAACAACCCCGCGCAATGCTACAGGCTTGGGGGTGAGCGACCAGAAAGCTGCCTGGTGGAAAAGGACCTGGGGGGGTTCATCACCAACCAGCTGAACATGAGCCAGCGGTGTGTCCAGGTGGCCAAGAAGGCCAACAGCATCCTGGCTTCTATCAGAAATAACGTGCCAGCAGGAGCAGGGAGGTGATGGTGCCCCTGTACTTGGCACCGGCGAGGCCGTACCTCGAATCCCGTGTGCAGTTTGGGGCCCCTCACTCCAAGAAAGACATCGAGGTGCTGGAGCGTGTC